TCAAATGAAACTTATTGTTTTCGAAAAGAAAAAAGTCTTTATTATATTTAAGGAGAGAATGACATCAATTATACGTTACACTTTGAAAAGTCAGGATACACAAATTGAAAGAAACTCTGATTAAATATAAGACATTCACATGCAATGACATTTCATTAGTAGGAGTAAATAGCCTCGTTGTTTTTTCATCCTTGTATTCCGACTTTAGTGATACGTACATCTCCATAGACCTCAATACGATCAACCTCATCTATTGCAATTCGATGCTTGTACTCGACGACAGGCTCGCCATTGACCATAACCTTTAAAACGCAAGACAAAATGTTAAATTTCTAAAAAGAACAAATAAAAGTGTTTGAAGAACAATTTTACTATGTTTTTCTATTATCGCACTGGTTCAAAACTTAAAAGATGCTTGCAAAACAGCTATTGTGTGGAAAAAAAGGATAAACTCCATTCAGTTTGTATTTTAATGATTTAATTCTGTGCGAGACTGGATACACTGACTAAAATACTATATGAAAATGTCATGTTAGTCTGATAAATATCCTTCACGAAAAATAACTAGTTCGTCAGATAGTTAACGTGATAATCATATGGTTAACTATTGGCAGAAATATCCCACCATAAATGAAATATATTGTTTGTGTTATCAATACATGAAAATGCTTTCATTAATGTGTTAATTTTAAATCCGCTGACAAATTAGTAGCCCCACCCTTTATCATTTTTATTCTTGTATAAACCATTAAGCATCGATGGGAGAATTCTTTCTATTCATGGTGTGAATTAAGGATATTTCAGAAAAAGGTTCGCGTACAAAAATTAGTTATCAAGTTTTCAATCTTACCTACAAAATTACATAAAACACATTTACAAAAAGAACCCCCTCTCCCAAAAAAATAAATAAAATAAAATAAATAGATTGTCAGTAAATGAAGTAAGTACCTTGTAACAGAAATTGTCCACCAGTATAACCATTTCAAAAAACTTGTCTTGTATGAAAGGATATGGTCCATTCAAATAATTCTCCTCCACACCCAACTGCAAGTTCCTGTTGAAGATTTTCTAACTATCACACCTGTGTCCTCACCATTAAAGCGTACGTCAAAGCGGAATGCAGTATAATTTTCAGTTCTTACATCCACAGTAAAACTATTGAAAGGACGATACATTCATTATGGTATTTAATAACATATGACGGTTTATGTATTCTAAGATAATTTTTATCACAATACTGCAGTTAAAAACTTTTGTCAAATCTTATAATTAAAGCATTGATTAGATTTTATATATAATCACTATCCATAATACTAAATTTTGTTTTACCTTTGTGCACCTTTAAATGGAATACCACTGATAGAAAATACTTTGCCTGGATAAAGGCAACCAAGTTTGTATTCAAATGGTGTCTTCTGTAATGCGAAATTGATATGCTAATAGTCATACAAAAACGAAATTTAAAATGTCATATTAAATCTTTTTTTTAATGTGGACGGATGCTAAACATTAAATATATGCATAAAACTTATAAAAGATATGAACAAGGTAGTAATATTACTTTTTTTCGATAATAGCTAGTTTAGATATAGATATTAGCTAGTTTAAATATAGATAATAGCTAGTTTAGATATAGATAATTGCTTGTTTAGATATAGATAAAATCTAGTTAAGATATAGATAATAGCTAGTTTAGATATAGATAATAATTTAGATATTTACTTACCGGACTATATATCGTTTTGCTGTAGCTAAACTACAAAAGAAAATGAGAAAAATACAACGGAATCAGGAATTTTGACATGGTGGATGGTTTCTCTTAATTTGATCAAATTCAACAAAAAAAACATTACACTCAGTTTAACTTCACTAAACATGATTATGCAGTTAATATTTATAAAAGCATTTTTGATTTTCACTTTCTTGAAGAAATCCACAGTGATTTCGTTCCATCTAAATACGTTTATTTATAAACTGAATTCTTAGCGAATAATAAGCACAGCTACTTATTTCTTGTGACAACTTTAGCTTAGAGGAACTCTTATTTAGTATATCTAACATGTAAAGTAAAACATCGATTTATCGATAAATGAATAACTCAATATTTTGCACACATGTCTAACCAATAAAGATTCTACTAAAAAATATTACTCCTTTTTAATGCACTATGCAATGCAAGGTTATCCAGTCTGACAAGATAGGCTACCGAAAGAGAACAGTTCATTTTATCAAAATGTTATCTAAAAATAAGAAATTTGGTCCCTGTGGGCAATTGAATATACGAGTTAAACCACTCACCGGAGCCTGGATGGTTGCCATTTTCGTTGTTCGCCCCTGTGCTTTTTAAATGACTAAAATGGTTAATCTGTATTTCACAAGCTTGACACTACAAATGAATATTTAAGTAACTTACATTACTACTAAAACATAGTGGTCATGTTTATCTCTTTTTCTTGAACTTTAAACCCTACTTGGGTTATCTTTCTTACTAGTTCACAACACTTATGCAAAATCTACCTGGTCTCCAGCAGTGCAAATTTACCAAAAAGGAAGAAAAACTAAATGATTAATATTAATGAAAACAACACATAATTTTTCTTTTTGAATTAACGATATAAAAAAATTATGAACAATCGATAATGATTTTGAATTTACCTCTTCTTATTTTTTTTTAATTTTTGTCTAAATTTTATTTTAATAATACCCTGCAAAGGCTACGTTTCATAAAATTTACATCTTGTATAAGTATTTAAATGAATGTACATGTACGTGTACAGATAGATAGGTAGGTAGGTAGGTAGATGCGTTTCTACCCATTTTTGTTTTTGATTTCTATGCAGTCTTCATCGGGATATTCTTGCATAGAAATCAAAAACAAAGATAGGTAATATAGAGGAGAGTCAGGTGGGTAGAAACACCTTCCGATTTTCTTTAAAAATAATGGATTGAATTTTATATAACTGTTTAAAAAACTTACCCTGCGATTGACCTATTTTCACAGTCACATCTGGTGTTATGCTTCACGTTTGGAGCAGCGGAAATTCACACATATACATGTACTTTTTACCGATGCTAATGTTTGAGATACATATGGTGTTCCATCCCGTATTAAACAAATTTAAACAATGTCCAGCGTTTGTGAATTGTTAAGGGGCGGAAACTCTATTATCGAGATACCAAAATTTTCAAATTACCCTACGACCAGTCATCCTGTAAAGGGAGATCACTGCGTGGGGAAATTGCGGATTTTTTAAATTTTTCGCCTCTCGTACAAAAACTGCGGTGACCAGACAACAGTATCCTTTGTGAATATATATAAATATGTGCCAAGCACTAAACATATAAATTAGCCAGGAAAGAAGTTAAGTTTCAGTAGAAGATAATACAATATTACTTTATTGGAGAGGCCGTCAGACCCATTTTTTTGCGTATCAAATTGAAGTAAATAAATCACATTTATTGCCTTAAACATTAGAAATAGTCTACAATTAGACCTCTCCACAGTGTTGAGGATGAATGCTGGTTGCATACATTTTGAAAATTGGAGTTACTGAATCTCATTTACACCCTAAAATAAAAAGTACCAGTCTACAAATGTTCTTAAGCGAATGATCCGCTGCAAAATACGACTTTACTTAACGAAAAAAATAACATTGAGGTGGACAAGTCGGTATAAAAGAAAACTCGGATAATATCATTTACATGCACATTTAACACTACGAACAGTGGTTCGTTCAGTATATAAATATAATGCTTTAAACTGTATAAATAGATTAATGTGTTGTGAATAGCGTTTTCGGAAAATAAAAGCAGTAAACATTTATAATAGCTACAATATTGTAAAAGTTGAAACTAGTCCTCTACAACAGTATTGTTTTTAGGATGGAATATTTGGCCAACATTTTTTTTAAATAATTATCTTTTTTTACTCATTTTGTTTGGATTCACAGTTCAGCTCAGATATTTTAGATATGATCATTCCTCACTTCAAATTAGGTAATATCGCGTATGGAGCTAACTGTTGCGCGCCAGTAAATATTGCGTAGAATTAGCTTTCTGTCGCGCGACAAGAGGTCGCACTTTTTTCGTCTCTTTTTTTAAAAGAGAAATCTGTCTATACACAGAAAATGATACTCTGTGCTTGAATAATAAATAAGAAGTTTAAGTGAAAGCATGATAATAAAATCAATTAAACTAAATAATAACAATAATAATAATAATAATAATAGTAATTTTAATCAATTCATACAGTTTAAAGGATTATATTGTAACAAAAGTCTGAAATATAACTTCTTTTTTACTGTATCTAAAAAATTTTTTGAAAGTCGTAAACTGAAGATGGTTGTTAAAATTAAAGTTGATTATAAATTGAAACACTTTCCAGTTCATAATGGTCTAGTGCACTAGGAGTGAACTTCAAAGTTCAGAAAAATGATACAATAGGTCAGAGTTATGGGCCCCGAATACGAGTTATCTGCCCCGGACCCACTGTTCGACATTACGTGGATTAGTGCTGAATATTATCAATAAATGTCCAAAGCATTATGATAAACCAGTACAACCAACACTGTCAATATATAAGTAATATTCCTAGCAGATTAAGCGTATCCCTCTTGTCATTTGTGACAAATGCTGTCTCCTGACTTGGTCACCTAACATCGAGTAAATATAACAAAATATATTTATACTTTATTATACAAAATATACAAAGACTAAATGACTTACTACATCATGAAAATGATCCTGAAAACTATTCATACGGAATATCGTATAAAACTTGTAGGATAAAATAACAGGTTTTGGCAGTAAGTCTAGCAATTTCAGACTTGTTTAGAGTATAAACTAAATGTTTGCTTATAATTTAGAGATAAATGTTTTACGCAATGATAACATTACACAGATATAAATGTATTATGTAATACAAAACGCGTATGTGTGTAAAACGGACAATTCTTGAAAAAAGAACAAAATAAAAACAAAAAGTCTCTGAGACATATATAAGTGACTCACAGATAATTAATCATATACTACTTGCGATATAAACTCAACACATGTTCCTCAAATATAATGTCTTATTCTTTTAATTAGTATATTACTTAAATTGTATAAGTGTTACAAGGAAATATAATATTCATATTCAGGAATTAACTATGTAATGAAACTGGCACTTAACTACCACTTATAACCTAATTATCACCCTTACTTCGAATAATTACAACACGATTCGCAGAATATATCCTTAAAATAAATGGCAAACTAATTGGAATTCCCCCTTTGATAGTATAAATATTCGAACAAGTGTTGTAGATTTTAAAATCACAAGATACTTCCAGATGAATATCATAATAAGGTAATATATGCGTTTAATCTTGAATATTCATGACATAATTATGCATAATAAATATTCATGATTTAAGAATGATCACAAAATTTTCATAATTCAAAAGAACGATTTGTATAGGTTATATACAGAGTTTTAAGAAATTAATTTTTGAGGAACGAATTCTTTATACAAAATATAACGATTTTATTGGCAGACAAACATTGGCGAACAGTAAAGATTATATAAAACCACTTCCGGTCTAAAATCAAAAGACATGCATGTGTCAAGGTATTTCGTTGCCGTCAATATTTTCATTCATTGAAACATGTGAGTGGAAAAGTAGTTAGGAGAAATAACACAAGGAATTCATTTAATTCAAGATTAATCGGCCAAGTCGTTATAATCACGGAATGATAAGTAATAAAATTTTCTACAGAGGAAAAAGAATCGTGGAAATACGCTCAAAATTTAACAATAAGTTACATTTAAATAGTTAAGTGCTAGCAGGGAAAATATATAGATAATATCAATTATAGGTATAAAAGTGTTGTTTGTTTTGTAAATGGTAAAAGTTGAAAATTTCAATTGTTTTGTGCTCTTCTTTTTTCAGATCTTGAAAACAAGCAAAGCGGATATACTCTCAAACCAGAGAAAAAAATGAAGCTGTTTGGAATTATCAAATTTATATCTATGTTAGCAATGTTCCTGATGCTGATGTTTTCAGAAGGAAATGCTCGTTACTGCAGTTATAATAACAAAAGAGGCAAATGCCATGACGTCATTAGGGTTGGATCAAGCAAATTCGAAAAAGGTTTATGTGAAGCTCGCGGAGGGAAATGTGTCCCTGGCAGACGCCAAAAACGGTGTTTCTGCAAAATGAAAATTTATTTGTGATTCTTCAGAGTATGAAGCTCGCGGAGGGAAATGTGTCCCTGGCAGACGCCAAAAAAGGTGTTTCTGCAAAATGACAATTCATTTGTGATTCTTCAAAGTGTAGAACAGAATTAATGCATTTATTCTGTTTGTTTGATAACCTTTGAACTTGCATTATGTTTGATTCTACATTGTATTATGATATTTAAACTTGCATTATATGATTGATTCCATTTTGCATTATTTCATTCAATTTAAATGGTCTTTCATTGAGTGATAATTTATGCTAAATAAAGCTCGATATCTGATGTTTAGTTGATTATGTTTGATCATCTCAAATTGTATATTAAACAATTTAAACAATGTCCAGCGATTGTGAATTGTTAAGGGGCGATAACTCTATTATCGAGATCAACGAAATTTTCAAATTACGCTACGGCCAGTAATCCTGTAAGGGGAGATCACTGCGTGGGGAATTGCGATTTTTTTTCCTTTTTTCGCCTCTCGTACAAAAACTGCGGTGACCATACAACAGTATCTTTTGTGCATATATAAATATGTACCAAGTACTATACATATAATTTGTCCAGGAAAGAAGTTAAGTTTCAGTAGAAGATAATGCAATATTACTTTATTGGAGAGAGGTCGTCAGACCCATTTTTGCGTATTAAATTGAAGTAAATGAATCACATTTATAGCCTTAAACATTAGAACTAGTCTACAATAATTGCTATTCGCATGCTCCGCTTTGAATAACTTTCCGTAAACGAGGAATTTACGAAACATCGAAGTGGAAAAATGATAAAAGGAAAACTCGGAAAATATCATTTACATGTACGTTACATTTAACACTTCGAAAAGTGGTTCATTTGGACTACAGTTGAGTTCACACTAAAGGTTGCACAAAGTTACACAAAATGCACTTGGTGTGCAATACATGTGCACTTCTAGTGCACTAGACCAAATAATGCTCTGGGTAGTGTTTCAATTGTTTGTCAAACAGTCACTTTTAATTTTAACAATTATCTTCAGTTTATGACTTTCAAAAAAATAGATACATAAAAAAGAAGTAATATTTCAGGCTTATGTTACAGTATAATCCTTTTAACAGTATAGATTGATTATTATTTAGTTTAATTGATTTTATTATCATGCTTTCATTTGTTATTCAAGCACCGAGTTTTAAATGACATTTTTAGTGTATATATACATATTTCTCTTAGAAAAAACCTCTTGCAAAGAAATGCTGCTGTTTAAAAACGTTTTAATTGCTGTGGTAGATTGAAAATTGTATTCTTGCCATTTGAATTACATATTAGAACCAGACAAGCACTGCGTTTGTCTTGCTCACAACGAGGTTATGGTGCTCACAACGAGGATTAAAGCAAAAAAGAGTATATCTTCGTTTCTACGAAGACTTTCAGATAATAATTTACGCTGAAGACTTGTGGGCATCTGTTTTAGGTTAGAATGCACATGACGTCACCAGAATCGACGTTTTCAATGTTAAATTAGGTCCAAAGAGAAGTTGTCTCCAGTTTTTCAGCTACCCCGAGTGACTGGGTCGCACGGTTTTTCAATCAAATTGTCCACCAACAGGCAATATCTTTACATGTGCATACTCGGAAAACACATCGCTAGCTAACTGCATTTCGATATTTTTACATAAATGTCTGTAATCTTCAAAAATTATGAAAAACTCACCTTGTTTATCGTGTCACTCGTCATAGATGGGTGCTCACAACGTGGAACGGAAGTTGCTCACAACATTATTACCGATGGACATTTTTCACTCGTTGTGAGTTAAACGGGCATGGTTTACCTAATTTGATGTGAGAAATGATCATATCTAAAAATAACTGAGCTGTACCAATGACATAGACTGTGAATGCAACAAAAATGAGTTTAAAGGATTACAAGAAAAGCATTGATGCAAAGCATCAAAGGGCGACGCCAAAAGAATTTGATCCAGGTTTGCACCTAAATACTTAACAAAAGATGTGTACTTTATAGCAGTACCAAATTTCACGTGACCTGGAGGCTTGGCCCAGTTTATGTTGAATCTTAAACCAAAAAGAATAGACTCTGTCTTCCCAAGATGCAAAGACAATTTATAGTCAATAAACCAATCTTAAGATTTACTTTACCAGATACAAGGATACCTGAGTCATCATCATATAATGACAGGCACAAGTATCACACCTGGGAAGAAAAAATATGACCATATTAATAAAAAATCTGTGTTCATCTTAAAAGTGTCAAAAACCAAAAAAAAAAAATGTAAATAATGACCCCCTTTAAAAATATACTATTAACTTGAAGTATATTTTTAAAGGGGGTCATCATTTTACATTTTTTTTTGGTTTGTGACACTTTTAAGATGAACACAGGTTTTTTTATCAATCTGGTAATATTTTTTCTTCCCAAGTCTGATACTAATGTGCCTGTGCATATAATAAAAGCTTATTGCTTAGGGTTGCAGACATGTCATTGACATATATTAGACATAAAAGAGGACCTAAAATGAACATCAGGGGGACACCATAGGTATTCAGAGAGAAGGAGTACCAGCAAAATTCACCAGCTGCTATCAGAGACAAGACTTGAACCATGCAAGAATGTCATTACATATGGCAGATGCTTGAAGTTCCATGAAGAAGAAGAAAAAAGAACTTCTTCATGTGCAGTATAGTGTGATCAACTGTACCAAAAGCTTTTTGTAGATTTAAAAGTATCACGCAATACTGCCTTTGTCCATTTCAAATTAAATGCAATCTATTAAATGAATCAAACATGTGTCAGTTGAAAAACCACTTCTAAACCCTAACTGAAACTGCCTGACCATGACTCGAACCCATGACTTTCAGAAGACCAACTGAGCTATCCGGCCGGCTACACATTTTCTCTTTAATAATGAAACAGTTCTAAACCTAAACCTTTTCCCCCACTATATTGATTCATGTACTTGAATTTCTGATGTTTACAAAGCATAGTAAATTAAACTAATGGTTATTTGCAGTAACAGGATGAGAAAAACTTTCAGCTTGACCAGAACTCAAACCTGTGACCCACAGAATAATGTACTGCGGCTGTAGCGATTGACCTATCTGGCCGCTTACACATTTTCTCCCCTAAATAGTGAACAGTTCTAAACCATGACAGATATTTAGATTTTTAAATTAACAGATAATTAATTCTTAATTAATAAATAAGAAAAAAAACCTTACATACTCATAGTCTTAATTAAAATAACAATTTATATTTATATAATTATTATTGTATAATTATTTTTACTAAAAAGGGCTAAGACAGTTATTGGTTGTGCCATTATTTATAACAGGTCAATTTGAAAGTGAATATAACTGTGCTAATACATGTACAATATCTATGATAAGAAATTTTATGAAGGTTTGTATTTTACATCAAGGGCACCGGGCGAAAACATGAAAATGCAACAAACAAACCACTTTGTGGTAGATTGTATTTTCATGTTTTCATCTTGCGCCCGGTTACTTTTTGTACTTTGTTGATTTCATGTGGCACAAATCACCCACTATAAAATTTAGTGTACAAATTTATTCAAGGGCAAGTAACAATCTACTCTATGAAAAGTCTGTTGTCGGGGTTGACTCAGGAGACCTGGAAGTTGAGACCGGTGTCCCTCCATTACAAATAGATAAGGCAGAAGCTGTCCTTTTCAAACTATGCACATGTTAGAAAAAAATTAGAATAACTATTCAGAACATGATTTTTTGAGGCAAGTATCTTCCCCATTGCCTCTAGTTTTTATTTCTTTGATTACTCCCCACCCCCTCCCCCGGTCTCCTGTCCCCTTCCCCTTTGTGGGCCTATTTTTATTTTCTTTGAATTCCTAATCAGTTACAAATTAATTATCATTTAATGATTAACCTGTCCGTGCTCTGTCTTTGCCCTGTCCTGTTTTTGTTTTGGGTCCCCCTGGGCTCCTTGCCATTGGTTCTTGTTGCTGGGTCATGTGGGGGTTGCGTTCATTGAACGCCGCCTTTCCTTGTTGATCTTGTTTATCATATTTTATCAATTATATTGCTTGATCCAAGTTTCAGGACATTTTCAATCAATACATGTATTATCATTTATAACTTTAAATGAAAGTCTCATCCCTTTAATAATAATGACATAACTGCAACTCTTTAAATTCAGAAATATTATAAGTCTCATCATACCAATATACTAAGATATAAATGTATGCACATAACATTAATAATTCCAAGGTTCTATTAAATAAATATGAAATATTGGGTATATAAAGCCAGTAAAAGTATATATATATCAATATTCACTCATCAGGGCCTCTATGCTTTTGATGACCTTACAACTGGTAAATTTTATAAACAAAAAATTGTAAGTAATACCTAAGATAGACAGAAAAGAACAAATAATTTAGTAAACATGAGTTACTTCCCTTGAAATAAAGAAAACATGAAACCCAAAAGAACACCCTAAACATCAAAATTAAGAAATGTTGCAGGCTCATTTTAATTATGCCATGCAAATTAATGGTAAAGTATTCATAAAAAAGTAGATGGCCATGTGACAGCAGTAATTGCAGAAAATCGGATAGCTGTCAACATCCGGATACTGGTACACTTTGTAAAAACAACCATTCTGTTCAACAGATAAACGTTATATGGATAAAATCAATAGGATAATCGTTTACAACAGTCCATTACCTATCCTTATACTCATTTGCAGGTGAACTTTCTTCTTGTAGGAAAGTTTTGAAAATATATAAATGAATGAGCATCAATGTAGACCACAACGATATTCGAAATTCGGCTTTTAGTATTGTCAATAAAACAAAGGGACAAGCTGTTAATCAGAGCCTGCAATTTCGTGAAAATAATATCACAATGCACATGCTTTTTATATAAAGTTATTAAATACAAATATAACAACATATTTGTTTACTTGATTTTTACGAATCAAAAAAATATAATTAACACAACATGAAATTAACTGCTAATAATAACAGCTCCTTCCATAGGCCAAAATAAAAAGCATTCCACGCTCATTCTCAATAAAACACAGCATTTGATGTTCCACTGGGTAGCTCTTATACGAAGGTTTTTCTTGAGGTCAAAATGTCGTTAGAAAGGCGGCTGCCACTTTGTCTAATAGGGACACTCTCAGTTTTACATTTCTATCTGTTATTTTTCTTTTACAAGTACCATTAATGCCCTAAAATGTAACATACGTTACTGTCGCCACCTAGAATTTTCAACTTTGAAATTGTGTTTCAGAAAAATAAGTTCCAGAATAAACGAAACAT